AGAGAGAGAGAGAGAGAGAGAGAGAGAGAGAGAGAGAGAGAGAGAGAGAGAGAGAGAGAGAGAGAGTCAGGGCCCCACGAAAGTTGCAGCAATGAGAGCACGAACGTGTGCACTGTGTGGATCTGTGTGTCTGGCTGTCACAGGCTGTGTGTATCTGGGAGAGAGAGAGAACAGAGAGGAGGGGGAGAGAGAGGGGAGAGAGAGCAGGGGGAGCTACCGACTGACAATGGTGGCCACAGCCATCAGCATCCGCTGCGTCAAGCTCTCGTATTCCTCTGAATGTTCGAGGAAGTACCCTGCTCCCTCGGTAGTGTTGATTTCTACTACCCCGCTGCTGACGGAGTTTAGCACCTGGATGGCGTCCTTAAAGGCCAGTGCCATGATGGCCCTATCGGACCCTGGAAGGGCTTCGTCAAAGGGGTGAGAGGAGGACGACATGGTACTACCCAGTTTGCTGCTACCCGCTCCCGAAGTGATCGCTTGGAGGAAGGTGAAGAGGGTGTTGAATACATTACATACTACCATACCAGGTAACCATCGCTGCACATCTCCGGAGCCGAGTGGTGTGGGGACCAGCAAGGGCTTGATGGGGTCTAGTGCATCAATGTCCTCCTCTCTAAACAATGCAAGGTAGATGCCTGTCTCCTCCACAGCCTCGCGGAAGGCGTAATAGCTGCGAGCAAGGTTGGCAATGTTCTTGGACTCTATCTGTGTTACAGTATCTGCCTCTCCAAGGATCTGAAAAAGCCCAGCCAGTCCCGTCCCAACGATTGATGGGGCCCCGATCACATTCAGCAGCAGATCGCCGAACTCCGATCCCGTGGAAAGGAGGGACATTCCTCCCTCTCCCTCCCCCGACGACATTCCAGCCACCGCACGATCGTACGCCGCGTTCAGAAACGTACTGAAGTTCCTATGGTAATCTATCAGTCGGTTCTTGCCCTCCTTTGCCCATTCCTTCAACACCAGGCAGTGGTCCAGCTTGCCTTTGGCGTCCCGCTTTCCGTGGGTCCTCGAGTTCATCTGCTTTATGAGGTCGTTGCAGGCACTCAAGGGGTCAACTTGGGACATGATCTGGGCCTGGCCCAGTGGTGAACCGGAAGGTTCCAACCCGTTACCGTCCCAAGGATCACGTGCCGAACCTGCAGGTTCAGGTTCCGAGCCATTATGGCCCCCTTGATAGGGTACGGAACCTCCAGGTCCAGGGGCGCCTGCATTAGCCCCCCTGCCCCCATAACCACCCCCATAAGAACTCTGATCACCAGCAGGTTTCCTAAGGACCTTTCTCAGACCTCTTTTCACCAACCTCCTTTCAATCTGGTGCTGCTCGAGCCAGCCCAACCGTTCGAAGTGAGAGGCGAACACGAAATTCGCCAGCTCGATGTCGTGGATATGGACGTTCTTGGCGGCCAAAGCGTACCAGTGGAGAGCTTCCTCGTGCAGCGGGGTGGAGGAGAAAGACGCCGACCCCACTCCCTTCGAGGCCCCAGCAGCACTCCAGGGGCGGCTAAGGTCCCATCTCCCGTGAGTCCACGGTTGACTCAGTTTGTCAATGATCACTCGAACAGCCTCCTTTTGGTAGAAGTACATGCCTAGGGCCAGTTGGGCAAAGTAGTACCCTTTCCCGGCCGCATTCTTCAGACAAGCCAGGGCCTTGGACTCATCGGCGGCCCATCCAAGTCGTCCTTGGAGCAAATTGAGCCCTTTGACCGTCTCGGCGATCTGGCAGCCCTGTGCCACTGCGCTCTCGAGCCACACTCGGGCTTTGTTCTCGTTTCGCTGGAGGATTCCTCCTTCGGCGAGGCAGCAGCTGAGCACCAGCATGGCCCTCGGGTGGTTCATCTCTGCAGCCTTGGAGATCATTTCTACCCCCTTTCTGGGGTCCTTAGGGTAGCTATACATCCCCTCTAGCAGGTAGAAGCCGGTGACGAAGGTGGCATTAGGACACCCGGCCTGTATCATTTCTTCCGCGTTGCGCACTCCGTGCTCTCTGCAGGCTGGCAGCGTGCGGACCACCAGCTGGCTGAGCAAGAACCGGGCCTCGTTGTTTCCCGTCCGATCGACCAGTCTTCGCAGGAAGATGAACGCGTAGATGGGATTCCTCCTTTGCCGAAAATACAAGTCTGCCAACCCAAGCGTGGCCTCGTCCAGTCCCTCCCCCCCATCCGCGAGGCTATCAGCGGCAGCCTCCCAAAGCTGCTTCTCAGCCTCGACGCGCTGCTTCGGCGTCGAGTCCGAAGCGGCCAACACGCACCGGCTCAGCAGCGCTCGCGCTCTCTCGTCCCCCGTTCCGCTGGCCAGCCGAAAGCACTCGGTAGCTCTCTTCAAATCGATCTGATGCTTGCCATCCGCTGCTCCGTGATAATGCAGCCACCCTTCTCTCACCAGCTTGCAGGCGGCTGGTGCATCCCCACTTCCACCCCCCTCTCCTCCACCCCCCCCTTCATCCCCCCCT